CTATTTCAACAAGATTTTCAAAAAAGAATTTTATATACAGATTCAACTCAGAATTTTATTTTATATATATACTATAACATTATTATTAGTATTTCAGCTTAGATAGATAGAAATATAAATATGTATCTGTACTTTAGTAAACTTTAAATCATAGAGTCGCAAGCAATTTTATTCTAAAACTAATAAAACATTGATCTCAATAGACCCCTTATATTTTACTATCAACAATTTTAGATAAGATAGCCCCTTAGAAGTATTCGGCCTAGATTAAACTTGGTATCTAAATGAGAAATTAGAGTGAAGACTCCTTAATAGCTTTCTGGAAACGAAAAATACTTTTAAAGTATAATCCTTAGAGGAACTTAACTTCGCAAAGTTTGAATTTTAGATCGACACTTTACTTAATCGGGTATAGATAAAAAAATTAAAGAAAAAAAATATAAGAACGTTACCGCTTACATCGAAAAGACAAGGTTTTACTTCGAAAGTCTGGTATAGTTTAAAATAAACTTTTATTTAATGACCAACATTTCATTAATATTTGCAACAATTTAAGAAGATCGATTTTATTTAAAAAAAAAACTATTTAAATTTTAGACAGCTCAGAGCAAAAAAAAATCCATATTTTTTATATTGTATATTATCTCTTTTTTTTAATTTTACTTAAAACGCTTTATCTTTCTTAATAGTATACATTTATTATATTACTAGCAAAACCCGCGGCATCGCTCGTGCTAAAAATACAATCTAAACTACATCTAAATTGGTAGGTACGTCTCATACAAACTTTCATCCCCTAATTTTACCATTTATGGGATGAATTTCGGAAAATGCTAAAACACGTATTTAATTAATTGTATTAAAGAGTATTTATACCAAGTTTCAAGTAATTCTAATCATAAATATTTTTTTTGTATTATATTATAACGTGTTTTCCCGTGGGAAAGACATAACTTCCCGCGGTAAAAAAGTAGCCTATGTCACTCTCCAGCCCTCCAAATATCTCCGCACAAAAAATCACGCCAATTCGCCAAGCTGTTTCAATGTGAAAGAAAGACAAACAAACAAAAACACACTTTCACATTTATAATATTAGCATGGATATGGATATATGAATTTCATAATATTTATAATATCCAAGTTAAAATAATGTGTGTTTAGCCTATTCTAACGTCCGGGAATCAGGCTATATAAGGCTATAACCTACGACGATGGCCAAGTGCGGTGGAGTTTGGCGGAGTTCAAATGAACTTTTCAAAACTTGATAAGTTCTCTCAGATGTGCAGGTTTCCTCGACATGTTTTCCTGTACTGTATTAGCAATTGGTAATCATTATACTTCCTTATATTTTTCGCGAATATTTGACATTAAATAAAACTACTCGTATCTTTTCGGATTTTTATGTTTTTAAATATAATATAGGTAACACTAAATAAGATTACTAATTAATAAAGTTTTCTAAAAAATTGTAATAATTATAATAATAAAAGTTAAAATTAAATAATTAATATTCCATATTCAATTGTAAAACTTATTAAAATTATAAAGATTTTTGAATTTTTTGAATTTTTTGGTTTCATTTATTTCTTTTGTGGTTAGGCTGTTTGTAACAACTATTTATAATGTCTTAATACATTTTAAGTAGGCTAGACTCTCCCGTGACCATGATTGCTGTAAAGCATTCGAAACGTCGGGAACCAAAAATCGAAATATATCCACGAAAAAATCCGAAAGTTCCGAGTTTTATTTAAAAATGGTAATTATGTTTACCCGAGATTATTTAAGCAATAAAATCAATTTAGTCGATGAATAATAAAAGTAAATCATGCAAAAATATCAGCCTTGGTGTGATAAGTTAATATTTTTTATTTCAACGTTAACATTTTTTGCATTTAAATATAATCCCATGGAAAAGTTTAACTTGAACGAGCGATAAGGGGCGTGAAAGCGGAAATGGAGTTGGGTAGTCATTTATTATGAATTTATTTTCAATATCGTACGCTTCGAGAAAATATGAATAAATCATTAATTTTATTATTATAGGTATACATATAGTATGTCTGACAAGTCATTGTAAATTTGATTTACCTATACATATAATAAAATTCTAACAAAGTCGAATCTGTACATTAAATATTTTTTGGAAAATCTTATTTAAATAGTCATTATTATCCTCGGTGGTGTAGTGGCTAGCATGTACGGCTGCACACCCGGAGGTCCTGGGTTCGAGTCCCGGGTCGGGCCAAGTTTAGTTATTGAGTCTTCCTGTATAGTAAGTCTCAGTAACAGCCCGGAGTTGGGAAGTTGGCGGTGTTTCACCCCCGTGCCTCGGAGAGCACGTAAAGCCGTCGGTCCTGCGCCTTAACTCTCACCGGTCGTGTCGAGTGGTCGTCCCACCGGAGTATGAGAGTAATAGGAATAGAGAGTGCACTTGTGTCTGCGCGTACACTTGAGCACTATAATATCTCCTGCGCAGTTGGCTAATCTCATTGAAATTGGCCGCCGTGGCCGGAATCGGCTAGGAGAACATCATCATCATTATCGATACAGAGTCCGAATCTATAGTTTTTAGAATTTTTGTCTGTCTGTCTGTTACCGCATCACGGAAAAACCACTGGATTTTGATGAAATTTGGTATGGTGATAGCGGTTTATCCGGGTCAACTTATAGGATACTTTTTAGTGCGGGAAAATATCTATATGTTGACCCGGATAATCCGTTATCACCATACCAAATGTACAGATTCGGCTTAGTTACAATTTTCTTATTATGTATAGATAATATCTACAGAATAGCAATGTTTCAAAGAATACCGTATAAATGATCAGGTACTTTGCAAAATAAAAGGTTAGGTTAGCAATCGTAAAACGCAGGGTTTTACGATGCAAAGTATTTGATGCAGTGAAGTATTATTTTCACACGAAATTAGATTTGGACGAGTGTTTTATGTTTCTGGGATATTTTTAGACTTCATTATATGTAAATAGCACTGGGTTTTAGAGCTATACCATAAATTTTAATGGTGAAATGTTGACAATGAATTTTGAAGGTTTTTTACACGTCTTATTAAGTATGTAATGTTTAATGGTATTACTATAGTAATCCCTTTATCTACATATACTAATTTTATAAAGAGGTAAAAATTTGTGACATTGTAGGGGGTAATCTCTGGATCTACTGAACCGGTTTAGATGAAATTTGTTAAGAAGATAGTTTGAGACCCTGGGAAGGACCTAGGATACTTTTTCTCAGAAATTATCCCTTAAGGGGTGAAAATGGGAATGAAAGTATTTATTTATTTATTTATTTTACATCCAATTAGAACGGCGGCGCCACTTACACTAACTAGATTACACATTATAAATTATTACAAACATAAAATACACAAACAAAACATAAGTAAATATTACTTGGGTTCTGAGAGCATGCTGAGAATATCGAATAGCCCAGTTTAATAACAGGGTTATTCAATTTTCTCAGCATACCTCAGCAACTCAGAGACCAAAGTTGACCACTTGTCATTGAATGGGTCCCAATGAGCGTTGTTGTCCAAGAGCGCGTTAAACGATGCCAATGAACGCGGTATAGGTGCCATTGTTCGAGCAATAGTGCGACAATATGGGACAACGAATAACTTATTTTTTCGGGGGCGGAGATTGTTGATAATTGGGGCATGAATGCGACACAGTTGGGCATGAAGATCCGGAGCATCAACGTCTCCTCGCACAAATTCGGCACATAGTTTTTTAGTTGGTCACAAGTCCGTCTGACTTCCAAGGAGTTGAAACCTAAGCAACCTAAAAGAAATTTGGTTGGGTATAGAAATGGGTAATATCCATAGCATCGTTTGAATAGGTATCTCAGGAAGGCCTTCTGTACTTTTTCCAATATAAGCCCATACTTTTTCTCGTATGGGTGCCAGACGCAGGCGCTTGTTTTCCAGTTTGCTTCGGACTAGAGCGTAATATAGTAAACCGTATTACCACAGGACTACTGAACTCCCGAGAGTTGCGCAATACGAACCCTAATCTTCGAAATGAATCGGCCGCTACTGAGCTAATATGACCTCGGAAGGTTAATTTGGTGTCAAAATTTACACCCAGATCTCTCATATTTTGCACTCTGGGGACAGAAATGCCATTCATTGGTACTCATGTATCAAGGGATACCGAACTCTACCAAAGGTCATCACTGAACATTTGTCATAATTGAGCTCCATTCTGTTGGCTTCACTCCAGTTACATTACAGCTGTTAGATCGTGTTGTAACTTGAGGCAATCTTCGATAGAAGTAATTTCGAGTATGAGTTTGAGATCATCAGCATATAATAGGCATTTCGCATGTTTTATACATTTCGGAAGATCATTTATCATAATTAAGAATATAATGGTCCTAAGATGGAGCCCTGACTTACACCGGATCTCGTATGATATGGTTTTGACTCATACATACCATAACGAACGAATTGCTGACGATCACGGAGATAGTTAGAAATTAAGTAAAGAAGCTGGGGAGACAAACCTATAGCATTGAGCTTACTGAGAAGAATATCATTATTTTACCCTGTCAAAAGCTTTGCGGTAATCGAAATAAAGTGCATCCACTTGATGACCTCTATCGAGACAGGTGGATATGTAATCAGCAGCTGTTAGTAAGTTTGAGTTGACAGACTTTTTAGTCCGGAAACCATGCTGTTCGTCACATAGTAAATTATTGATTTGCCTACTAATTTCTCTATGCACGATTCTTTCGAATACCTTGGCCGGCGTTGAGAGAATAGCTATGGGCCGAAATTCCTCGACAGATGTTGTACCGGTTTTCTTAGGTATCGGGGTGACTCGTGTCAGTTTCCATTGAGAAAGGATATTGTCCCGTCTTTAAAATTAAATTAAATATATGACAAAGAGGGAGGCTGAGATATTTCTTACACATTTTTCATAACACCTGCTGGTAAGTTGTCTGGACCAGTTGAACAGTTTATCTTGAGTTTATCAATACTAATATGCTATGTCAGCTACTGAAAACTTTGGAATGGAGATGACAGTACCATGTAACTTATCATCATTTAGACATACCTCATCCACACTTAGCTTTGGCACCTCAGATAAGAACACGTCTGCAAAGAAATTTGCAAAGGCTTCGGCTGCATCTACTCCGGAGTGCATGCAACCATTTAAAGTGACGTTAGGCTCAAATCCCCCTTTAACCCGCAAGCTACTGATGTAGTCCCAAAAACCTAAAGGATTGGCTTTAATATTACTTTCAGCGCGCCTAATGTAATTTTCATATGCTTCTGGGATGCAAGCCTTCAAGTTAGATCTTATTTCTGAGAACCTAGCATAAGTCTGAACACATTTAATTTTGATCCATTTGGAATGTAACTTTAATTTCAATTCTACATCGCGGATAATATCGTTTGTAAACCAAACCGGATATCGCTTGATATTACCTTTTTTTCTATTCTTTTTAGGCATGCACAAGTCAAAAAGATCATACATAATTCTGTAGAAACAAGTTATCGCTGACTGTACATCGGTTGCAGTCAAAAGAACATCCCAAGATACCATAGACATTAGAATAAGGAGTTGTTTCATAATCAAGTTTGCGGAAATTCCAATCTTTGGAATTGCTTATGTTGCTAGGCTCCAATCTGTCAGAGTGTTTAGCTGTACGAATATTCATCTTAATGTTAAGAGGGGGATGGTATAAATCAGGTGGAACCATTCCCTCCGTATCAGAGACTATCGTTTCAACATGCTCTTGGACCAGTACTACATCTAGAATGCTCCCATGAGTATTCACAATGTTATTATGCTCGGTTAAGCCGCAAAGTGTCACAAAATATGAATAATAACAGACTATGTTATAGGATGCACTGTTTAAATTTAAATCCCCCAATATAACCACTAATCCCTTTAAGTCAAAAATAAAACTTTCTATTTTACAAAATAAGTTCATGTAGTCTTCGTCGGATGCACTGGGTTTTATATAGATTACACATATAAACATAGATCGACCCTGTATATTACATGAAACCCATAGATCTTCACCGGAATCGGTTTCCAATTCACGTCGTCGCTGCAAAAGTATACCGGGGCGAGCTACGATCAGCACGCCACCGCACGGCGAACCCCTGTCGCGGCGCAGCACACTCCAGCTGCCGCCTGATATTTCCGCATCTTCAACGGTATCGTCGAGAAATGACTCCGTAACAGCCACTATGTCGCAGGCTTGCAACAGAAGATTCATGGTCCAAGTTTTTGTTTTTGTTTTAAGGCCGCGAACATTTTGGTACAATATATTCAAGGTGATATGGTTTTTTGTACTATCGATGTTGGCTTGGGTTACGAAAGGACTGACGACTGCCATCTGAGTTGCCGGATGATTTTCTAAAATTAATCCAAGTCTTGATCCTTGCATTGATCGGCCAGGCGTCCTCTGAAAGACATTTTTCGTAACAGGCTATTGGGACTCCAATTTTAAATGACTTATAATTACCTTTAGGCACCAATTCTTCCACAGTGCAGGTATCCGTAGAACAAAGTTGTTGTAGATGTTTCGATATATCCTCCGCGCCCGACTCCATGTTCCAGAGGTGTAGGTATTTTCGAGGTTCAACCGCTTTTAAAGATGTCACTGATGGGCTCGCATTGCCGCAGATGAGGTTTAGTTTCCGAGGCTTCTTCCTACGGACCTCAACCCATTTTTCAGAAGATACCTCCTGCTGAGATGTAATTTTGAGGAGCCGATGGATTTGGTTTATTATTTACCATCGAAGGTGTTGCAACGGATAATCGAGAGGGACATTGTCTGGCAGGTTGCGGATAGCTTCGCGATACACGCGGGTTCAGTGCAAACATTAACAGTCGGCGCAGTTATCTTGGCGGGTTGCGGGGCCTCGTTATGTGTAGTAACAGTCTCTCCTTTTTTAGATGTTGCCAGTTCGTCTTTGCTATTTACCATGTCACGCATTTTAGACTGGATACAACTGTCAATAAGAGTTTCAAAGTGCGAAAAGTAATTATCACACTTTCCGTGAAATGTAGTCAGCAACGACATTGCTTGATTAAGTTGGTTTTTTAAACCAATGATCTCTTCGCGAAGCTGTTTTATTTCCAGACGAAGGACTTCAGTATTTTTTATTTCTTGCTTGTCCTCGTTAGAAGCCAGAATAATCGCCTTTTTCCTATACGTAATATTATTACTATCGGCGGCAGAGCTGCGCTGTCTACTAGCGCCTACGGGTGTAAGGCTGTTGTCACCACCTCTCTTTGACATACATGCACATTCAGGACAGATCCATGCCTCGGTATTCACAGAAGCTGGATCTAAGATACCTGTACAAAGCTCGTGGTATGTTTTCTGACACGTGCGGACCATGCATTGTAGAAATGCTTCTTCAGATACAATAAGCTTGCAACAGGCTGCGCAATCCATTTTAAGCATAAGCAACAAGCAAAAAAATAATAAATATAATATTCAACGTCTAATGAGGCCTAGCTTTATGCAGCGCTTGAAGCGCTTGAAGAGACGGCCGCTGTCGGGAGGTCAATGACCGCTGCGTACACTCAGCTGTTTGCTGTCAGAATGCGATTTGAATTTACTACTGTGTTAATGTTTTTGTTAATTAACTAGCACTTACGCGATGGATTCGAAAGAAGTTTTCACCATTGAAAAGAGCAGGAATTCAGCTACAAAAGTATATATAATAAACTTGCATAGCTTAACTTTAGTAATGTTAATTGAATAAAAATTACGGAACACGTACTGCACTGTATCTCGCGCGGGGCGGTTGTCAAGTATGTATTGGGAAGCAAGCTAGGGTTGAACCCGATCCCCGGAGGAGAAGCCAACTCCTACCGGGCGCGTCCCCAGGTGGCGGATAGGGGAATGCCACCCGCTTAGGGCGGCGGGTGGTACCGGAGAAATCCGGCGCGGACCAAATGGCTTGGGTGGGGCCGCTCGTCTAGGACTCGAGCCGAAGACGTTGCGGCCACCGGTGGTGGGACCGCTTGGTCCCACAACCGGATGATGGGTGCCGGTTGCGGGACTGTGGTCGCAGGCCCGCATCCGGCGGAGGAGTAGGCCGCGGCGGGAGAGGAGTGCCGGTATTTCAGTGCGCCGTTCTCCCTACCTTCCGCGGCCTAGACGGGGCCGCCACCGTTTGATGGCGGACGCGGTGGGGCTGCAGGGGAAGAGGAGTGTCGGTGTTTCGTTGCCGCTCTCCCTGTCCTCTGCAGCCGATTGGAGGTGGCCCACTTCGGTGGGCGGTGGTTAGGTTTAATGGGGCTGCTCCGGGTACCTCTCTGGCGTAGCAGAGTTGACTGTGGAGCAGCCCCATTGGTTTGGTGGTCTGCCTAGCGCTTAGGCAGACCTGCCGCCGGGGCGCCGTAGTAGTTATGCGCAAGCGATCCTGCGGCGTCCCATTAAGGCGGAGGGGAGGGGAATGTCGGGTTTTAGTGGGTAGTACCGGCTCTTCTAGCCGGTGAGCCCCACATCACCACCTGGGGGATCAGGTGGTATGCGTAAATGCATTTCCCGACATAAAAAAAAAAAAAAAAAAAAAAAGGGTTGAACCCGAGCGAAGCAAGGGTGAGTCGCTAGTACTATTATAAAATAATAATAATCATAAATGTAAATTTTTCACGCTTAAACCGCTGAACAGATTTTGATAAAATTTCGCAAGAACTTATTTTGCAATCTAAAACCTGCAAAAATATTTGCTACATATACGCATGTATTTAATTAGACAATATGTTACTTTATTTTGCTTGAAGTTTTGGCCGTGGATGCTGTTTCGTAGTGGTTCTTGAAAACTTGAAAATTTAAGCAACTATCTGGGGGATCTACCTTTATGAAATCTAATTTAGCTCTCTCTATAAGATTATAGTCGGAAATAGCCCAAGCAATATTTTGTAAAATAAATAATTAAATATTCAATCTGAAATCATATTATTCAGATTTCTTAAGAGTTTTCTTTACAGAGTTTATCTAAATATTAGAAAGTAAATGGTATGTTATTATGCAAAAATGTGCTAAAACGCGTTAATTTAAAGTTGGGTGCCTCATTATATTTCATTCTTAACTTTTCGTGACCAAAACTTCGAAATGAGAAAAACAGAAATTTATAAGATGACCCGTAAAGTTTCATATTAAAAAATCTGACAAATACCAGCGTCATGAGTTCGCCCTTCGAATGGCTGAAGTTCGAGGATGCTGGAAAACTTTATCAGTAGAGTGTTATGAAATTGTATAAGATATAATATTAGATTTAGTATTATATAAAGATTTACTATAGACTTATTTTTACTTCAGGCCTGTCTCTGATTAATTATTAGTTATTGGTCTGGATTTGGCTCACCTTAAATTAGGTTTTTAATTTTGATATAAATTAAATATATTTATAGAAAATAATAACAATTTCAGCTTTCAGCTCTTTCTATGCGAAATAGATAAATTAACATTGAGCCATAATGATAAATTAGAGATCGAGAAATAAAAACACGTAAAAAAAGTACCTACGAATACTTCGACTTCAAAACGATGTAAAAGTAATTATTTTACCTTTAGAAATGGTTTTTTTCCTTGATGTATATAACCTATATATTAAAAATAAAATATAACCACAGTTATATAAACAAGTCACAAATGAAAATGGTAGTAAATTTAAGAATTAAACAACTAATACTTTTTCAGATTTACAAGAATATTGGACATTTTAAATAAAACTATCTTATAGTGTTCATTTCGTGGATTTATTTTGATTTTTCTGATTTATGAAACCTTAGTCTCTCACGTGACCATGATTACTGTAAATCATTCGAAACGTCGGCAACCAAAAATTAAAGTAAATCTGCGAAAATATCCAACCATTTTTTTAATTAAAAATGACCAAATAACCAATTTATGTACTACTAGTTTATGGTTTAAGCTACAGCAGGTAGCAAGCTAGAAGTAGCACAACAATAAACAGAAGGAACAAATCTGCAAGCTCTTCGTCACATAAAAGAGAAATACAATATGCTGCATACATCTTATATTACCTACAGATGCAACGCAAATCTTGTAGCTTCTGTTGTTTATGGTTTCTACTCGGGGAAATGTTGCTTATAAATCAGGACTATCGAAGCAGTCTATATCCAACCATTACGCTTTGTTCATACTCGGTTGAATCTCAAATGAATCACTAAAATGCAATAGATTTAATGGAACCTGAATATTTGACTGCAATACGAATATTTTTAGTTATCAGGTAAGAGTGTAGTAATAGCTTAAAGGATACTGAACTCTTACAAATTATCCAGGAAGGAATAATTTATAATACATATAATAAAAGTGTAGAGATTGAATGTCTGTACATAGAAAAAAAATTATAAAAACCGAGTCAGAGGGGTGTAAGAAGAGAAATAGAACAAAGTTAAGCGAAGCGAGGGTGAGCCGCTAGTAATATATCTAATATATAAATATATCGTGTCACGGTGTTTGTGGTTGACTCCTCCGAAACGGCTTGACCGATTTTAAAGATTTTTTTTTGTATATTTGGTGGATATGAGAATAGGTCAAGTATTTTTCACTCTCCTACCCCCAACCCCTATTTTTTAATCGCGATTTTTGTATGAACAACATCCAAATAATTTAATATTATATAAATACATAGGGACGAACTTGATCGAAGCGAGGGTGAGTCGCTATATAACAAGCAAAAGTTTTTTTTGTAGATTGGACGCGGGTGAAGCCGCGGATTCTGCTAGTATAATATATTATACATATTATGTATTATGTATGTAGTTTCAGATTTATCGCTGGCATATTGTTAGCTGTTTTTCAAAAGCGCTGGGTTGAAAATATTTGATATTGGACTACTATTAAAAATGCTTTGACGCTGAAACAGCTGGACGGAATGGATTAAATTTAGTACACAGATTTTTTTAACGTTGGGAAATGCATTTGCGAATATCACCTGTATGAAAAAGAAAGTTACGTGGAGAATCACCGGCTTAAAAAGCCAGGACTACCAACATAACCCAATGAAACCTTCCCTGTCGTGGCATCACATACGCAGTCAATCACGACGCCCTGTCCTACAGTCCTCTGGAGCTACCAATTTGTGGGCTTCAAATTAGTCGCTCCTGAGCTTTTCTTTGATAACAGAGAAATACCAAGAGTAATCTGCATGTTATATCACCCATCGAGGAGAGCCGCCTCCCAAGTGCACAACATGGAGTTACACATAGATTACTGTTTTGCACCTATGGATGCACCTGAGCAAAGTAAGTGTTCTTCGCTAGCGTATAACTGACTAACAGTATGATTGAGAGACGTCAACCATATCTGATCAACATGTGTTTGATAATCTACAACTTTTTGTAAGAAAATTAATAAACAAAACTTTCAAATTACGTTAGGATTTACATAAGCGGATTTGTGCTGTTTATAAAATAAAGTAAATTAAAGAGTTGGAACCTCGTTATATTTTCCCTGTAAACTATCTGAGGTAGGGCAAATCCCTAATTTTTGTGTACGCTAAGTATCTTTTAAAGTATACCTTTAAAATGCATGAAAATATTCTTAATAATGAGATCAATATTTTACCGCTCTTGCTTTGCTGTGCCAGCGGTCGCGGGTTCGGGTCCCACTGGGGGGGACTCATTTGTGTGATGAGCACGAAAGTTTGTACTCTAATCATGAGTATTTATATTTATAAAATGTATATTTTTAAAGTTATATACGTGTAGTGTTTCTATTATCTGGTATCCTTATAACACAAGCCTCGTAGCTTACCATGGAACTAGATGGTGCTGTGTGTTAATGTCCCAACATACTTATTTATTTCTAAATATATATATATATATATATGTGTGTGTGTGTGTGTGTGTACCAAACTACCCTATCTGTCCAAAAAATTTGGCAAAGACACATCGTGATGGATCCAAGTGATCCCATAAGGGATTATCCTATAAGAACCCTAAAACGACCCTATAGCTATTAATATTACAATTTCTTACCACATGACCCATCTAAAATATAATTGCATATCTAAAATCTCTGTGGAAATGAGAATCACAATTCCAGCATCTGCAACGAAGCTTGATAAATTATTGATCTCATCGTATTATGTTACTAAAAAATAACGATGCTAGACCTTACTTCCCTAACGACTAAGGTCCTCATTATTTCAAACTTTGGTCGTCTCAGCTTTATCTCTTATTTACGAAAATAAACGTAAGTATAAATGGCGGCGTCTATTATGAAAGTATTTTGTTTTAACGCCTGGTGGCGTCGACTCATTTAGTTTTAAAAGCGCTTCTATATGATGTGATTATTTACAACTACAAAGAAAGATTGTGTGACGTAGTGGCAGTGTGTCTCTAATAAGAAGGAATGTCTAAGTTTGATTTCTGTATAGAATAAATATTTTTTATTTATTATAAGGTCCG